GCAGCCGCCATCTTGGTTTTTTCACGAGTGTATTTTCGAGCGTTTTGCAAGTGTATCTTTCATTCATCCGCCAGTTATGAGTAGATTAACAGTCAATGATGTTTTGGAAAGAGTCTGGGATGATTCAGGAGACAAGGATGATTTTTCTGGCTCGGAAGATGGCGAAAATGACGATGACTACGTATCTGAGAGTGAAGATACAGAAAGTGATGGGTCAGATTCTTCAGAAGCCAAAACAGATGGCGAAGATTCTGAAGAAACTGGGGCAGATAATTCCGGGAATGGTCCTCCTCCAAAGCGGCAGAGAAAAAGAACTGAAGCTAAGAATCGTTTAAAAACATGATAATTTAATTTTAAAAAAAAGTTTGCGAAAATCCCAATTTTAGGCCCGCACAGGGGTGAAAAAATGGCCCGCAGCGAAAGGGTTAAATGCCAGTTTCACTAGCACAATCGAGAAAGGCCTACCCCCTCCCCAGAAAAAAAATTGAAAAATTTGTGGGAAATTTTATCATGATAAATGATTACTGAGTAACCCATACCCTTCCTGCAGTTTTATTTCTTTTCTCTTTTGTTTCCAAGCTTTCTTCCTGTCTTTTCCATTTTGACTGTCAAAAATTTTTTGCCACAAAGAAAAATATGGTATGGCATCAAATTTCACTTTTTGGTCTTCCCATGTGACTTTGTGTGTTGTAGCTGATGGGTCTAACACAGAACTATAATTAAGTGTCTGCAAACAAGTGATTTTGTCACTGGGTATTCTTATCCCTCATAATGTAAATTATAATCCAGTCTTGTAAAGATCATGTCAGAGAGTTTGTTGAAACATAAACCATACAAGGTCTGTTGAGCCCAGAGGGGCTTATGGAATTTCAGACCTCATTGATGGGGGGTTTATTTGTAGGGGAGTGATAGAGAGGGGAGGAGCATGGAGGAGAGGGGGTGGGCACTTCCATTGTAATCTAAAAACTAGCAATTCATCTTAAAATATATCATTTTCTGTTCGTTCTCCCAGTGCCTTTATAGAACTAGACCAACTGAGGATTTAGTTGGTCCGCTTTTATATTAAATAGATTGGAGAATAACACACAATTTGGCTTAATTGCATCGTCAGATTTACCGATACTCCCAAAGAGTTTGTACACAACTCTCATTCTTTGACAATTTCGTCGATCTTGTAAGATTGGTAAAGGTAGCCGGACTTGCTGGATAAACGTACATCGAAAATTTCCGATATATGAGATGCAACATCTGCATCGCCTGCCATTGCCCAAATATACTCCACTAAAGATACTAAGACATCAGATTATTCTTTCCTGGTGAATTTGAAAAAAAGCGCAAAATATTTTCCAATACCGGAACCGGAAACCGATTTTGGAAGGGCAGAAGGGTGGTTTAAGCTATGGAAACAAAGCAAATCCGTCGTGTAGCTACTCGTTTCCATAGCTGAAATCGCCCTTGAGGTTTAGTGTCTTTGATTTCTTTTTTATCGGCGAAAATAAACCTTAAGGGACAGAACTATGCTGCATGTGATATTTACTAAGCTAGATGTTTTCTCTTGACTCAAAACACACACGAAGTAGACTTAAAACTCGTGCAAAGTAAAGAACAGGGAACGTTCGGAGTCGTAAATCGTCGGTAGTTCGGCGCTAATTATATTCCAGTGATTTAATTTCATTCCCAGGCACCTCAGGTCCAAGGGCACTTTCAGATACGGAAACAAGTCTTTACCTTCTTCGACAGACGCCATTTTCTTTGTGTTCGAAAGACCTGAAACGAGGCAATTTTGTAAGCCAATGAGAGTGCTCGTTAGAAGCATCCAATCAAAATGCAGAACGAAGTACTGATATTAGTACT